TCTGTTTTTGTAAAACATTATTCGCTTATATAATTTACATCACTGTTTTTCTTAGCATTAAATAGGTATAGCTATCATGCAAGCTATTGTGCCTCCCTAGCACAGACAGTTTAATTATGGTTGACTGAGTTACGTCATATTACCAATGTACCACCGTTTCAATGTAATTTAATTTGGGGGGAAAAAAGTTTAGTAAAGATTTAGTCTAGATTTTGTTCAGTTTTTTTAGGTCTGATAGTTGACTGTTGCTTGTTATTTTAATCTTCTGTATTTATTTAACACATTTAACAATTTAACTAATTTACAAATAGTCTGTTTACCAAAAATAAAATAAAAATAAACTTCAGCCTGATATTTTAGAAAATTTAATATCATTACATTTTAATGACTGTTTTAAATCTCTCTGCTCGGTGTCAGTTGCAACATTTGACTTTGTTTGAGTTTAAATTCTGTACATTTTTCATACACTCAAATAAAATGACATTTGTTGTTTGTTCAAACGACTTATTTAAAATAAGCTGAAACAACACTATTCTACTTAAAATCTACTTAAAATATTAAGTAATCTGATTTTTTATGTTGCCCCAACACAAATCGATTGTGTGGAACCCAACATTTTTGCAGTGTTTGTATACATATTATAGCAATGTGGGTGGATGTTAAATAAATTTGGGTTTACTATATTACAATTTTAGGTTTCCACAAAAAACTGTCTCTGAGAAACTGAAGGAAAAGCTGTCCCCACTCTCCCCTATATATTTTGCTTAAAATAAATTGAAATATTAATTGTTGGGGGAAAAAAAAAATGTACGCTTAAACTGTAAAGAAAATAAACTAAGCCAAAATGAATCAATAAGTGATTCTTTATCAATGATAAGATTCACATCTTAAGTAACTGCAAGCTGTTTATTATCTTTATGACAAATATTAGCTTTCTAATATTGTTTTCTCATTTTTCAGACTCAGAAGAGACCTGCTTTATTACAGGCGATACAGATTAATTTATACAATTAGAGCTGTACAATATATCATTTCAGCATTGATATTGCAATATTCACATTCGCAACAGTCACATTTATGCAAAGTTGAGTCTTGGATGACCAGGAGCTACAAAATTACAGGATTGTATACAACTTATGCAAATATAATAATAGTAATAATTTTTGTCTTGTATCTAGTATAAATATCTACATTTTAAAGCAAAAACAGGATTATTTCAATTACCCCAGTGGCAGATAACTGTAGCCTATAGGTAAGTAATTATGTTTGTTTTAGGGATAAACATAAAATTTTAACAACATACTTTACATTCCAAGTAATACACCTGTACATACACTTGTCAATTTGTACATTTGAATTCACTACTTCTATTTTTAAAATATATTTATTATCTGTTTTTGTCTTGTCTCTGTAATCCTGTTGCACTGTAGAAGCTCTGTCACGAAAAAATAATTCCTCGAATGTGTGAACACACCTGGCAATGAAGCTCTTTCGGATTTCTTTGCGATTCTGATCTTGTGAAACTGTCGCAATATTTATCATAGAAAAATCTTCCAATATCATGCAGCCCTATGTACAATGATGTAAAAGTGAACTTTAATTAAATTTGAACAATTATGTCACAAAATAATTCCAAAATGTAACTGGTTTAAACAACAAACTTTCTTATTACTGAAGAATTGATTCAAGAGATAAAATGCATTTAAATAAATGAATTGTTTTCAGTTTAAACCTGCCTTTATTCATTCATTTTCTTTCAGCTTAGTCCCTTTATTCATCAGGTGTCGCCACAGCAGAATGAACCACCAACTAATCTACATGTTTTAGACAGCAGATACCCTTCCCGCTGAAACTCAGTACTGAGAAACACCCATACACTATGGCCAATTTATCTAATTCAATTCACCTATACCACGTCTTTGAACTGTGAGGGGAAACCGGAGCACCCGGAGGAAACCCACGCCAAGACGGGTAGAACATGCAAACTCCACACAGAAACACCAACTTACCCAGCCGGGACTCGTTCCAGTAATTTTCTTGTGAGGTGACAGTGAACCATGTTGCTTTAAGTTTAATTAAATGTAAACAGTTGTCACAAATTAGGGCAGCGCGGTGGCGCAGTGCGTATGGCTGTCGCCTCACAGCAAAAAGGTCACTGGTTCAAGCCTGAGCTAGGTTAGTTGGCATTTCTGTGTGGAGCTTGCTTGTTCTCTCCGTGTTGCCATGGGTTTTCTCCAGATGCTTCGGTTTCCCCCACAGTCCAAAGATATTAAATCCAGTAATGGATTGCAGCTGGAAGGGTATCTGCCGGCGCTGCATAAAACATTTGCTGGATAGGTTGGGGTTCATACCGCTGTGTACTAAAGGGACTTTGCTGAAAAGAAAATTAATGAATGTCACAAAATTATTCCAAAATGTAACATTTATTTTTTGTAACTTTTACAATTACACTGTAAAACCCAACAGTCAAATGTATCAAATTAAATGAAGTAACTCAATTTACTGGAAGTTATTTCTAGTCATTTGAAATGAGTTTTGAACTCTGAGTTGAAGTCAATCAATTAATTAATTAAGTAATCAAGTAAGTATTGATTAAGCATTAATGATGAACACCTGCTGTTAGCAAGCAGAATTACTGAAGAGAAACGCAAAACTAAAGCTGACTTCAGTCACAGCCTTAACAGAAATGAAACACATTCAGTCTCTTAAAATCTTAACAGAGGATCATTAAACAACTAAACAAACAGTATCAACAGCTTTACTTATTACTAACCTGCTGGGCTTTGTTTCTGTCGAACATCTACAAAAGCCTTTTGCAAGATTTACTGAAAAAATGATTCTTGATGTCTGTGTGTTTAAGATGGTTCAGATGTTCAATGTATTTCAAACTCTGCTGGGTTACCTTCAGTACGACAGCAGGTGGATTATTTTCAGCAATGTGAAAAGCAGCACCACAGCATTATAATCTAAAGTGAAGGAAAACATACACTATTGAAAAACTGGATAACACCATCATGAAATGCAGTTGAAGTCAGAATTGTTAGCCCCCCTGAATCATTAGCCCCATTGTTTATTTTTCCCCCCAATTTGTGTTTAAGGGAGAGAAGATTTTTTTGACACATTTCTAAACCTAATAGTTGGAATAACTTATTTATAATAACTGATTAAAACACTTAAGACACTTCTATACAGCTTAAAGTGACATTTAAAGGCTTAACTAGGTTAATTAGGTTAACTAGGTTAGGGAAATTAGGCAAGTTATTGTATAACAGTGGTTTGTTCTGTAGAATATCAAAAAAAAAAAAAACTTAAAGGGGATATTAATTTTGTCCCTAAAATGGTCGTTAAAAACTTAAAAACTGCTTTTATTCTTGCCAAAATAAAACAAATAAGACTTTCTTCAGAAGAAAAAAACATTATCAGACATGTTGTGAAAAATTTCCTTGCTCTGTTAAACATCCTTTGGTAAATATTTAAAAAAGAAAAAAATTCAAAGGGGGGCTAATAATTCTGACTTCAACTAATTTTTTCCCCTTTGTTTACTTGTCATAACACACAGTTACAAACGCCAAAGAAAAACAAACATGAGGAAGTCAAAGGGCCCAATTAAGCACACACTGTTCACATCAGTGGCAATGTGTAAGAAAATTTATATTTTTAGATAATTTCAGAAGACATTCATTTGTGGAGTTCTTAATGAATCTCTGCTGAAATGTTGAGAGATTGAATGCGTTTCATTTCTTTTAAGGCTGTGACTAAAGTCAGCTTTATGTTTGTTTCTTTCTTTAGTTATTCTGCTTGTTAACAGCAGGTTTTCATCATTGATGTTCAATCAACTAACTAAGTAGTTTAACGTAAATGGAGGAAGTTCACAGTACTCGTATAGATTAGTTTTTGGACTGAAATGGTTTGTAGCAATTGGTTCCCTCAAACGGTTCGAGTTGCCTAACTTATTGGGTTTTACAGTACTCAGTTGGTTTGAGTTCTCTTCATTTATTGGGTTTTACTGTACTCAAATTGCTTTGTTTACTCAAATAGATTAAGTTCACAGTACTCATTGGAATTAGGTTTTTGAACTTAAATGGTTTGTTGCAATCGGTTTCCTAATGGTTTAAGTTAACTTAATGGGTTTTACAGTAAAGAATTATTAATAATGAATTGAATATTTCAAATAGATGAGATAAATGTTTTTATTGAATTGTTATAAATGTTTATTTAAAATTATGCAAATTTCAAAAATGAAACTGTGAAAAGTAACAAAATCATCACTGCTTTAAACAACATTTTATCTAAACATCCTAATGTCATTTTTAAAAACTCTCGGTTTAAACTTCCTTCATATTCAGTTTCATTATCAACTGTTTTATATTAAACATGCAACTAATATGCCATTAAATTTGATTTGGGATAGATTATTTAAAGATAATTTAGTGTTCATGCATCTCATTTCAAACAAAGACGAACACACTCAAATACACCGGTTTACTCATCTTTTATTGTCACATTCATATCTATGCTCTGTATTTTTTACAAGGAGTTCAAAACAATTGTGGATGAGAATCAAAGAAAAATCAGGCAGGCAGAGGCTGAAAGTCCTGTTAATGTCTGTGGCACCTGCTGAAAGAAGGGTGAAGGGATAAAGGTAGTCTGGTAAAGGTAGTCTCCTTCCTCTCTCATCCTCCAAAAAAAATGTGCCCTATTTAATTCAACGGACCTTCACTCTCCTGTTGCATCATTACAGGTGAAATGAAACAATAAAAATGAAAATAATTTCAACATCATGCTGCTCTGTGCGGCCTGAAAAGATACTATTATGTTGCGGTTCACAGAGAAAGTAGAGCGGATTCTATTGCAAACATAAGAAATACAATCCTATGTCATATTTAAAAAGCCATCAGAAATATAACTCGAAATGAAAGATGAAGTTAAAATAAAGTCAGTTTAATAATAATGGAGAAAAAGGAGAGATCAGATAGTGAAATTGTCATAGTTTTTCCGTTTATTCCCCCTCCCGCATTTCCATTTAACCCATTACCAAATTCACGTGAACAATTTCAAAACAACAGAAGAGAAAAATCATCATCATCTTTGGAAGTAAAAGATCTATTCACTACAGTATATGGAGATGCTGCTACCCAGATGCTTAAGTCATTGTTATTATTGTTATTATTAATATAATATTATTGATTCATTTAGCTTAACATTGTAACTTTTTGTGTCCTTTTTTAGTTTTACGATCTGTTCTATCGGTTTGTCTTTATTCTAAGAGGTAGATCAACAAAAAAAGAAAAGAAAAAATTGAAAATACATGATTATAGGTGTCATGCCTCTTGATTCAGGCCGTTAAGTCAAAAAATGGGACTACAAGTTGAGGACAAGATGTTAGTAGAAGCTTAGGGCAGAAAGTGCAGATTTATTGCCAACTTAAATCTAGATTCACCCCCAAAAAAGTGAGACCGGTTTCAAAATCAGCAGCTTCTAAATGGGGAGGATGGTACTTGTGGGGTCAAGGCTGCATGGCGTGGAGGTAGTGTGGTGCCATCAAGGTGGGAAAGGACATAGATGAAGGAGTGCAACAGGCACAAATGTGTGTTCATCTTTACAGAGGTATCGTTAGTCACCCTACCAATGCTGGCCTGGATACGTTTGTGCCATTAGTTTCATAATAGTCAGGGCCGTTCAATGCTGCCTTCATGTGCAATCAGAGTTGTTGTAAATATAGGTTTCCTTGTCAGAAATTGGAGAAGCATAGCATCAAGAGTTGCATTTACAATTGGGAAGCGTCAAGAGTTTCCAAACTGGGTGGAAAGAACATTTTTTACATTAAATTAAATGGTTGTTTACAGCAACAGCTATGTTACTGTAATTTCAGGAATCCGACTACGTTTAATCCCTCTTACAAACTTATAACCACTATTAAAATTGGGGATTTTCTGAAAACTTTGACTGTACCAACTGACTGCCATTGAATCATTAAGGTGTTATGTTTAAAAGGGCTGCATGATTAATTAAAGGCCATTGTGTGCTCATCTTCACTCTCAGAAATAAAGGTATGCAAGTTGTCACGGGTGATACCTTTTCAAAAGGTATACATTTGTACTGAAAAGGTCCATATCGGTACCTCAAAAGTATTTATTAGTACCTACAAATTTTAAGAGGAACACTTTTGTACTTCTTAGGTACTAATATGTACCGTTGAGGTATTAATATGGACCTTTTACTTAAAAATTTGTATCTTTTTAAAAGGTACCACCCCAGTGACAGGGCTTAAAGAGGTAGTTTACCCCAAAAAACTGTGCTAAAGAGACAGGGAACGTCGTTTCATTTTTCATACACTCTCAGAAATGAAGGTACGGGAGCATTCGCTGGGCCTTTACCTTTTCAAAAGATACATATTTATACCAATAGAGTCTGCAGTAGTACCTCAAGGTACATATTAGTACCCAAATGTACCTTTGAGGTACCTATATGGACCCTTCAGATACAAATATGGACTTTTTGAAAAGGTACTGCCTGAGTGATAGCTCTTGTACCCATATTTCTGAGAGAGTTCCAAAACTATATTTCATTGTCTTTTCATGAGATTCCTACTTGTAAATACAACGTTGTGCTGGCATTCACACCAGTCTAACTCATAAATACAACACTCCTGCCATGACCTGAATGCACAGTAAATCACGACGTGGAGAGAATTTTAGTTTAGCATCATTTCACGGGTTCTTCAACCTTCCTCCTCCTGTGCAAGCCATCATACCACAACATCCATTCCCTGTTGTGTCACCCCATCCCGAAGGAGTCCCCGCTCTAAGCTCGAGTAGTTTTCTATCCAAACGTCTAGAGAAATTAAAAGCTAAAAATAAATTAAAACTCAAAAATGTAACATGCACTTTCGCTCTCGTCTGCTTGATAAAACAATCTTATGGCTAAGTCTTGAGGTAGCGTTCCTAGTTATGTGAGGTTTGAGACGTCATTTGTAGCACCCAAATATTTTCCTTTAGGAGAGGCCAGAATCTAGCATGGTGAGATACAACAGTGGCATGCAACGTCGATATGATGATGATGATGACCACAACCAGCTAAGCTGCTCTTCATACTGTGGTCTACATGTAGATCTACGCACTGCAATGCAACTTTTCCCAGTGGACACTTAACAGTCCGTGCGACAAACACCGTTTATGTGACTTGTCACAAAATTGCATAAGTAAACAACATACTATCTCTTTCCGAAAAGCTCAAGTATGCTAATGAAATGGTTGTACTGTTTTGTTCAAGCCCTCACCACTGACAAAGCATGGAGGGCCTCGATATATTGAAATGAAAAGCGAAAAGTGCCAAACAGGAGGCCAACTCACAGGGGAGCGTGCATATAGGCAATGCATCCGTTCCTGACTGTGCAGTCGCAGTTAGTTCCTTTATCCTGGAGTACATCAACAAAACATAAAGAGAACCCCGGTTTGGCACAGGTATTACGTGAAGTGTTAGTATTTCACTCGTAGCAGTGTAAGAGGTGTCTGTGCATAAAGAACTCTGATCGAGGAGAAACTAAACTAAATAAATGGAGACGATCTGATAAAGAGAAAAACAAAATTGCAAAGAAATTTCAACATCAAACGACTGAACTAAACAGAAAAAACGGTCACAAACGAGGCCAGCGTGAGAGAGGGCGTTCTATTCCAGAACTGAAACGACACGTTGCTCGCCAAAGCTAATGTCTCAGATACTATCGCCAAAAAAAAAAAATAAAAACAAGTGGATGAAGGAAGCGAGTGGTGTCAAGGGATGAAAGGTAAGAACACCATGGGGGGGAAAAAAAGAGGAAGGGGACACATCTAAAACCTTGGGATCTTTACAAAATGTCCACCCATCCACTGATACCATCCCTCTCATCGCTTTCACCCAAAGGATAATCCTAAAATAGACAAAATAATGAAAAACAAAATGCAATTACAATAACATACCTACTATTTCGCTTTGTCACAACTATGTTAGTTCTCGGAGATCTGCGGTTATGTTAATATTTCTCGCTCACATATTTTTTGTCTTTTATTGATGAAACAGTTAGCAACCAGATGTCAAGCTTGCTGTCAAAAAAGAAAAAAAGAAGACGTAAAAACAAAAGGCTGCTGCAGTCTGAACAGAGCAGAAGTGTGTGTGAGTGCGTTTGACAGAAATCTATGGGCTGGAACAGGACAGATAACTTCATTCTCGCCTGAAGAGCAGTATGTGAGATGTTGACAAGTTCAGTCCTCAAGCAGAAAACAGAAGACTGCCATCTAGTGTGAAAAAGGGGAAGCTCAAACAAACAAAAAAATATATAACAAAACAACAAAACAAAATAAAAGACCTTGACCAGTTAAAGCATGTGAACATTCTGGCAAACCCTTCTGAATGGAACGTGGAAAAGATGCGGTCTGGCAGTGTCCATCCATCTTTAACGGTTAAAAGTCTTGCCATCCTTTATCCAATTAGTATTTTATTCTAAAAAAATACAAAGATTTTTTTTTAAATCTGATTGCTTTGTTGAACAAATTATTTACAGTTTTCAATTTGAGAGATGGTGAATGCTTCAGTTTTTGCATTTTTTTGGCTCCCGTTTTTCTTGTATGTTCTCAGTCGGTTTTTAAAAAAATGAGTAAGACTGAGAGCATAGAGTGTTTTCCTATGTTTCTGCCTTTTTAAAACACCCAAACCACTTCCCCAACAACAACAACAAAAAAAATTAACACGTAACTCAATCAGAAAACGCAACCGCGCACACTTGCACAGGACAATGGGGAAGGACGAGACTCCATCCGTAACAAACAAAAAGAAAAACAAAGATGTTAAATAGTTCACATTCAGCGTCTTGGGGCTAAAGATAGTTTACACGCTTTCATTTTTCAAGCCCTTTCAAGTAAGTTAACCAATGACGTCCTTCAGTGCAGAATGATCAAGATCACACCACAGTATTGGCAAAAGAGTAACTTTTAGTTTTCTACCGTCAGCTTGTATTACAAACACTAATACTAAATCCTGTGGTATGGCAGCGTTCATTATGCACCAGAATAAGATGGCACGATTCGTCCTGTGTCCCATTGACCAGTGATATCAAGTGCGGCTCTACAAGGACTCCGAGGCTGGTCTAAAGACCGCCTAAACAATGAATCTGGAAGTCCTTCTGAGCTCAGGTGAGGAAATCCCCTCAGTTACACTCACGCATACAGTCATACCAAAAAGGAAAATAAAGGAAAAAAAATAAAAATATTTCTTCCTTAAAAAAATAAAATATTCAAGACTATCAGCTTTTATATAAAACACCAGCAAGCACAAAAAAAGAAAGAAAAAAAAAGAATTTAAAAGAAAAAAGAAATTAGGAATACTGAGGTAACAATACCCTGAGGTAGGTTTTTTGTTTTTCTTAATTTCATTTTTATCTAATCTGTTCTAGGTTCAGTGAGAAAGGCCAGCACTCTGGCAACCTCATCGGCAAATATCGAACAAAGTGGGCGAGAGAGAGCACAGAGACCACTGTACTGTCACCAGTTCTTCTCCTTTGACCAACAGGTCTATCATTCAAACCTGGCATTCAGGACAACCGTCCTCACGTGATTCTATTGCTGCATATTTAGCAGCACATTTATTCTCAGGAAGAATGCAGAACAGTTCATCTGAAGGCCAGGTTTATAAATGACGATTGCTTCTTAAATCACACATTCCTAACAAGAAATTGCTTTCTAAAAGATTCTTGTTTTCTGATTTTTCCCAATGTCTGCCTGCTCTAATGCAATGAGGGGCCAGGTTAACTCACATATCATATATATATAATATATATAAAATATGCCGTTTGAGTGTGAGCGGCGCTGCAGCGATCATCGCTGGCGTGATTTAGGGCGGGATTTGTTCGTTTTCCACACGTCAAAGCTGAACCACTGCAATACAACTGCAGAGGTCAGCTTTAGCCCACACACTTACTGAACTCTCGCCGCACGTCCCACCAGCCAAACAGCACACAGCCTAAATAGAAAGAAGTCTCCAAAACAAAAGAGTGGCACGACCCTCTCAAGCTGCGTAGTTGATTGGCAACGTTGACGTGCAGCATCTAAACATAAAGTCATGAAGATTATATTTACAACCTCATTTTTTCATCTTTTTTTCATCTCGTCACCCCCACAGTTAAGCGTGAAGGATTTCAAGAGCAGTGTTAACAACTTTGGCCCCTCCCCTCAGCTCTGAAAAACAGGGAGAAGTCACCTGACTGGTGGCTCCGCCCACAAAGAACTGTGATTGGCTCTCTGCTCTCTCTCTCTCCATCTCTACCTCACTGCATTTCATTAATAATACCTCTGAATAAACATTTCTATACATATATCTCTATCTTTAAAAAAAACACAGTTAAAAAATCTGAAGTGACTGCTGATGGCTGGGGATCCCAAACAGCTCATTTTGAGGGACCATCATTATGCCCTACTCCTAATAAGCGGCTACCATGTAAAAAAGCTCTCCGCAGAGGGCGCTCCGCTTCGACGGACATCCTCGCCATCCTCAGTCACTCCACCTGGCCTGGCATCTGGTCTCTGTTTTCTAATTATCTCTCTTTAAAAAAAAATTTAAATCACACGTTTTTCTTGTTCATATTCACTAAAGTCGTGTCCTCTCTCTCTCTCTCTCTCAGGCTCTATTTTTTGTCTTTTTTGTCTTTTTAATTCCCTCTCAGCTCCCCTGTCTACCGCTGGGTCTGTGTGTCACTCTCTCTCTCAGTCAGTCCACTCGTTTGTCCTCTCATTTGTCCGTCTGACTGGGCAGCGGCGCTGATCTCTCACTTCCTCCTGGGCTCTTGTGCCAGTCCCTGAGGAGACCCCAGCTCAGTCATGCCCTGCGGATGAGGCCCCTGTGGAGTTCCCATACCTCCTCCTTTCTGCTGCTGCTTGACTTGTGTCAAAATGTCTCGGATCTTCCTCTGTGCCAGCTAAAGATGAAACACACACAAACAACAGTTTAACAAGTTTGCATATTACATGTATTGTAATGAGAGAGCCAAATGAAATGTTGTCAGCTATACTCTCTGGTTATCTAAAGTTTAATTCACACATAGTTAATTAGAGAAGGATCTCACCTGACTTGCGTAAAAATGGCCGATAATTTTGACGATGACCTGGTCGTGTTCATCAGGTGTTTGTTCTCTGGGAACCACGACTTCAGCAGCGGTGAGGTTCTGCAGTTCATTCACCTGAAATGGGATGTTAAAAACTATTTTATCAACAGAATGTTCTTATTAAGTTTTAATTGTTTTCATCTTAAAAATACACTCATCGGCCACTTTATTGGGTACACCTGTCCAACCACTTGTTAACACAAATGTCTAATCAGCCAATTCCATGACACCAACTCAATGCATTTTGGCATGTAGACAGAGGCTGTTTCTCAATTCCAAGTATGCAGAGAACGGACTTGCGATCTTGCGGAGAGCTGTCTTGCCAGGTGTCCTCGAAAGAACGAACTCAGGAGACCGCAATGGGAGAGAACGCATCCTTTAAGAATTTAAACGCTGCATTCTTCTTGATGGTCACATGACCTTCACGTGTTTTAAATTGTAAATTATTTAAGCAGTGCAGCATTCATACAACGATTTATTGTTTTTACCCTTTTCAAAATATATACTTTGCATAAAAACATTATAAATATACTCTGCACAGTATAAATAAAACAGATTTTAATAAGAATTTCAGCAAACAAACAACCCTTAATGTGTTTATTCCTTTATTAAGATGTTCATGTGGATGTTTAATTTCACCGTTTCATTTAGGGAAACTCCTGAGGTAAATAAGTTAAATCTCTGAACTTAATAATAAATCTAAATAAATTGCTGCGCGTCCCACCTCCAGTCGCAATGACTTCTGGGACTTCCAGAGCAAGTTCGGTTGCCAAGTCTAATACATCAGTGCGTCCTCGATATCAAGAATACATCCGGGAAGTTTTACGTGTCCACCGTACTTGCGGTCTTGAGTATTAGAACAGAACTTAGGCAGCTGATGATGACGTTGCACGAGAACGCAAGACCGCTGAAGAATGCATATTGAGAAACAGCCATTGTCAAAATGATCTCTTCAGTTAAAAACTGAGCATCAGAATAGGAAGAAACGTGATTTAAGTGACTTTAAACGTGGCATGGTTGTTGGTGCCAGACGGGCTAGTCTTACTATTTCAGAAACTGTGATATACTGGGATTTTGCACACAACCATCTCTAGGGTTAACAAAGAATGGTCTGAAAAAGAAAATATCCAGTGAGTGGCAGCTCTGTGGGCACAAATGCCTTGTTAATGCAAGAGGTCAGAGAAGAATGGCCAGACTGGTCCCAGCTGATAGAAAGGCAAGAGTAAGTAACTCAAATAATTATTACAACCGAGGAATGCAGATGAGCATCTTTGAATGCACAACAGATTGAACCTTGAGGCAGATGGGCTACAGCATTTTATATACTGTTGGAATGTGGTTAAATGGTAGATTCGCATCATGGATGTGCAGCCACCAAATCTACAGTGACTGCGTGATGCTATCATGTCAATATCGAATACAATCTCTGAGGAATATTTCCAGTTTGCCACAAAGGATAAGGCCGTTTTGAGGGCAAAAGTGAGTCTAACCCAGTACTAGTAAGGTGTACCTGATAGTGATCGGAGAGTGTATATTATAATGCATTCATTAGCATTAAAGTGCATGAACTTAACATAAGATAAAAGTGCATATCTAATGTTATAACAGATTTACATTTTAATAAAAGCTGTCCATTTTATTTTCTATTATATACAAATCTATTCTTAAAGTTGTGTATTAAGTTAATCCACATAAACAAACTCAATTTGCAATATTTCAACATTGACAGTCATAATGCCTTTTGAGCAGCAACCTAATGACTGCTAAAAAGTCACAGGAATTTATTCCTCAAGAAGAAATCAATCAAACTGAAATATCAATAAAACGACAACTGTTTTTCAACAGTTTTCATTATTTTACGATATTACTTTCTTAAGCCTTTAGACTGGTTTATACTTCTGCGTGGAGTGATTGACGTGACCCACAACGCCTGCCTTGTGTGTAGCCGTGCATTTCTATATCTTCCTGCTGTTGGCGTTGCTCTAACACTTGCAATAACACTTCATAAACGCTAGCTAGCAGTAGGTTATATTATGCCTTTGCAGGTGTTTTTATTTTCCTAGATGCTACCTTAATGTACAACATGGGTATTTATTTATCTATAAATCTATGAATACACAATTAGCTAAAACTACAGGGGGTGTGCAGTAACTTTAATCATAAGGTAAACACAAAACTAAAGTTTCTATCTGGAGCTGCTTCACAGGACTAGACACTTGTAAACACTCGCTCCATCGGGCTCGGGGCTCTCAGCACCACCCACACTCATTACTGCCACCAAGCTGATCAATCACAGAGCTTGCGATACACATCAGTGCAATGTGTAGTTACATTTTTTGAGAGATTCATGTCATGATGGCTCAGTGGGTAGCACGATCGCCTCACAGCAATAAGGTCATTGGTTTGAGCCAACATTTCTGTGTAGAGTTTGTGTATTCTCCCTGTGTTCGTGTAATTTTCCAACGGGTGCTCCGGTTTACACCACAGTAAAAGACATACACTTTGGGTTAATTAAATAAGCTAAATTGGCTGTAGTGTATGGGTGTTTTCCAGTGTTGAGTTGCGGCTGGATGGGCGTCCGCTGTGTAAAACATATGCTGGATAAGTTGGTGGTTCAATCTGTTGTGGTGACCCCAGATTAATAAAGGAACTAAGCCAAAAAAAAATGAATGAATGAATGAAAGGTGCGCGTCAGTCTCAGCCACAGGGAAGGCTATGCGACCATGCGAATGCTGTGCCGGAGCAGACGAGTGCATTTGACGCAGAAGTAAAAATCAGCCTTTAGTGAGCATAAGAAAACTTGTAATTAAAAACAATGCTTTTAAGAAAAACTCCATAGTTGCTTCCAATGTTATGGACAAAACTAATACTAACTAGAATTACTGATTAATTAAATGTCACTTATTTAATTTTAATATTTAAATAATTTTTATTCTGACTGATACTCAGCGATGCAGTGGCACAGCAGGTAGTGCTGTCGCCTCACAGCAAGAAGGTCACTGGTTTGCACCTTGGCTGGGTCAGTTGGCATTTCTGTTTGGAGTTTGCATGTTCTCCCTACGTTCGTGTGGGTTTCTTCTGGGTGCTCCGGTTTCCCCCAGTCCAAAGACATGCGGTAAAGGTGAATTGGGTAGGCTAAATTGTCCGTAATGTATAGGTGTAAATGAGTGTGTGTGGATGTTTCTCAGGGATAGGTTGCAGCTGAAAGGGCATCCGCTGCATAAAAAAATAGCTGGATAAGTTGGTGGTTCATTCCGCAGTGGCGACCCCAGATTAATAAAAGAGACTAAGTCGTAAAGTAAATGAATAATGAATGACTAATACTGCTACCCATATATTTTGCCCCTAATAATCACATTTTCCTGCAATAATGTCTAAATTTAATTTTAACAAGAAAACTTTAGGATGGTTTGAAAAAGGAACAGTTGCTGTCATCTGACATCTTTTGGAAATCTGTTAATGAAATTCAGCTTACGGTTTTTCCGCCCTTTCCGATGACTCTTCCTGCTGCTGCAGCTGCTACTTTGATGTGTGTCTCCAGCTTCACCTCCTCTTTGGGCCCAAAGAAGTTTTCCTCCTTCAGTTTACCGTATATTCTGCCTTGAGCCTAAAACATAAAGCTCTTTAAATGTTGTACATCCACTGAATGCAGGACAAACACATCTCAAGTGGTTTCTGAAATGAGTTTGCAAAGAATGCATCCATGCAAACCTTGAATTGGGCCTCAGGTGGTCCTGTCACAATGACCATTCGCATTTTTGAGTCTGGAGCCTCTGCTGGTGCAATCTGAGGAAGAAATACATTGGAGATGTTCATGAAATCATCTTGACACAGCCAGGAGAAAGAAACAATATTTGAGAAAGAAGAAAGAAACTTCAAAATTTTAAATGACATATTGGCACAATATTTGATTGAATATTTACGCTAAAAAAATGTGACTAGATAGGAGACGATAACCGTCTCCAAGGTTTACAGCGGTTTGGAAAAGTCAAGGTTTTAAAACCACCTAAATTTTCTGGTTTACTGTTTCTATGGCACATGTAAGATTTTTTTTATTTACATTAAAAAAATTTTTTTAGGACAAAAGTATCTCCAGCAGAAAAGATATCCAAAAATGCGGTTTTAAATTGTAAAGAAATCACAATGAAGACAGCAAAAAGCAATTATTCATTTGAATTACTTAGTCTGTTTACTGCTCCAAAATACTTGAAATGTTTCTCAAAATAAAATATATCGCGTTCAAAGGGAAAAAAAATTTATTTTTTTACCCAGACATTAAAAAATATATATATAGTTTTAACACAGTTTTAATAATAAATATTGCTTTAACAAAAAATCAGCATATTAAAATTATTGCTGAAGGATCATTTTACACTGGAGAATGAAGTAATGCTCCTGAAAATAAGGAATAAGTGTTTTTTTTATTGAGCTGCAATACTTTGCAACATTACTAGTTTTTACTGTATTTCTGTAATAATTCCAACCTTTGTAAGTCTGAGTTATATATTTCAAATTCATAAAAAAAAAAACAACCCCCAAAAATTATTCAAATAAGCTGTCCTAACAGAGCAATAGCACAAGAGTCTGTTTTGATTTTAAACTTTTAGTTGAACAATTCTTTTTTACATTCAAATAGGTTAATTCAGCCAAAATGGAAAAACCTATCATCATTTAGTGTCTCTTCACCTGTTCCAGACCGGTTTGAATTTTGTTGTTCGATTAAACACATAAGAAGATATTTTGATGAAAGCTGGAAACCTGTAACCATTGACTTCCATAGTATTTGTTTTTGGAAGTGGAAGTCAACAGTTTTCAGCTTTCTTCAAAATATCTTCTTTTGTGTTCAACAGAGCAAAGAAAATCAGACAGGTTTGGAACTACTTGAGGGCGAGTATATTTTCATGTTTGGGTGAACTTTCCCTACAAATACCATTCTACAGAGGGCAATGCAAACAAATTGCCCACAATGCATTTTTATACAAGTTACCTTAATGGAAGCTCCGGCAAAACGGCTGAGCTGCTTGATATGCTGTCCCTTCTTGCCAATAAGAGCCCCTACAGCTTGAGCTGGGATGTACACATGGACAGTCTCCTGTTCGGAGGCCTGTGGAGAAACACAAAACAGAGTTTGCAAATTAGTTTAAATCATCACACCACAACGAATGGTAAAAGCCACCAAAAGAACTGTATTATCAAACCATTATAACATATACATGCCACAGAGGCCTAGTTTGTGTGATGCCAGTATCAGTATGCCAGGATGATTTTATCAAATGATGAAAAGGACAAAATGTGTCATACCCCCATAGGGCCATAAGGGGGACCAGGCACAGAGTTTCCGAGGGCAGGAGGCGGCATGGCAGAGGATGGTGGAAAGAGGCCGATGGCTCCAAGATTTAGTCCTGGGATCAGATGAGTTTGTTGCTGGATGCAGAGAGAATATAGGTTCAGATTAAAAATTTAAGTCATGTTTATGGGTTTTCTCAATTATGATGCAAGAAATATCGTTTCCAGGTCTAAGCCTCTACTTGTCTGAATTGATAATGCAGGTGTTTAAGAAAGCTCTATAATCGTATCACACATTATACTCATACATTACGCTAATTTTAATTACTGATGTTGTTCTGAGTTTTATAAAACTCTGAAAAACAAAACTCAGGTGAAAACAGCAAACATAATACATAATTAAACATAATACTGCTCACAAATGACCAAAATTACCAACATTTTTTGATATCAAAATTGGGAATATCATAAATGATATGGTAGCTTTCTTTTTCATTGCATTCTTTCATGAAACTCAAAGAGTAGAGCAATGTGACACTTTAATTAATAAAAATGTACACCTTATTGTAAACCTAATTTGTGCAATGCATAATCATAAATGGAGAATTACATGTTGAAAACATATTTTAGAAATTATTTTAGATTTACAATATTTTCCTCAAAAGATGCAAAACCACTGAGGACAGCCAATACATTAAAATTAATGGATATAGATTTACAGAATAAACAGTTATTCTGTAAAGGGGATTAAAATGACAACTTGCACTTGTGACCTGGAGCCAAATTGTAATAAAATTACTTAATTGCATAAAACAGCAGCATCATGTTATTTTTATACAGACAATAAGAGGTCTATTATTAAAGTTCATTGACTTAATAATATATGCCAAAGGTGACAGTTCAGGAATAGAAAAACGTACTGCTATTTGAACTTTAAAGAAAAACCTTAGATTTTGTTAATTTGTGGCTCAGTGGTTAGCACTGTCACCTCACAACAAGAAGGTCGTTGGTTTGGAGTCCCGGCTGGATCAGTTGACATTTCTGTGTAGAGTTTGCATGTTCTTTCCATGTTCGCGTGGGTTTCACAGCCAAATGACATGCAGTATAGGTGAATCGAGTAACCAAAATTGGCTTTAGTGTGTGTGTGTGTGTATGAATGTAAGAGTGTATGGGTGTTTCCCAGTACCGGGTTGCAGCTGGAAGGGCATCCGCTGCATAAAACATATGCTGTAATAATTGGCCGTTTATTCCGCTGTGGTGACCCTTGATAAAAAAAGTAACTAAGCTGAAGGACAATAATACTTAATGTTATCTAATCAAAGGGGAAAGTCATCCATCCTTAAAACTAGAAATGTAGCTTGTATTCCTCAGTATCGCTCAATTGGCAAGAACATATGAAGAGTTCAGATGAAAAAACCTCTGTGCCATCTGAAATTTCCATTAAAAAAAACTAACCTTTTTCACTTTTTCCTCCTTTATGTCGAGATCTTTTACTTTCAAGACCAGGAAACGGACTTATTCTTTGCCATAAAAGTGATATTACTGAACATACACACAAGAGCCTGTTTAAAATCCTCATTTAAGAGGAAAATTTCAGACTGCATTTAGAGGTTTTTGCATCTGAACTCTTCATATCTTCCCAATCCAAACTGACCCATAATAAAAGGGTTAAGCTAAGGTACTAAAACACTGCACACTACATTCTCCATCCTCATAGCATTTCTGCCAGCAGTATTTTAATGAATCATAAAAGATGAATCACTATCTGACCATCTAAGATTTGCACACAGAGAAAAAGATTAGAATCCTGATTTGTTTGTAATATTAAAGCACAGGTTATATTAAGCTATAGGTTAAGCTATATCTGCATGGTTTACTTTCAGCATCTGATAGAGTGCCTGTAAACAATGATGCAAGAATCAACAGGTGAACTTTCCAAGTAACTGTCTCACACAAACTCACATTCATAGCAGCGATGTCATTGTCATAAGCCTCTCGCACTTTCTTCATGATCTCTTGTTCAGCCAGACAGCAGGCTTCAATGGAGCCCTTCACTGTAATGGTCCTCTCTGGGTTATAAAGGGTCAGATCCTGCAGTCTGCAATTCAGATTTGTGGCATGTTTAATTATGTTAAAGTGATAGTTCACTCAAAATTGAAAGCTACCTCCTCATTTACTCTCCCTCCCTGGTATGGTTTTAATTTAACCCATATTGTAAAAACATATACTATTAAATATGTTAAATATGTGTTGTAACTTTGTTCCTTGCTCGAATGGTGTGCTATATGTATGTTTTAGACATCAAATAGAGATTTTCTGAAAAGTTACATGTGACTTTCTTTCCTTGTATTGAAATATATAGGGGCGTCATGGTGGCGCAGTGAGTAGCATGATCGCCTCAAAGCAAGAAGGTCGCTGGTGCGAGCCCCGGTTGGGTCAGTTAGCGTTTCTGTATGGAGTTTGCATGTTCTCCCCGTGTTCGCATGGTCATGTGCTATAAGTGAATTGGGTAAGCTAAATTGTCTAGTGTGTGAGAATGGGAGCGTATGGGTGTTTCCCAGTGAAGGACTGCAGCTGGAAGGGCATCCACTGCACACAACATATGCTGAATAAGTTGGGGGTTCATTCCACTGTGGCCACCCCAGATTAATAAAGGGACTAAGCTGTACTTTATATATAAGCCATACTAATATATATATATATATATATATATATATATATATATATATATATATATATATATATATCAAAAAAATGGCAGGAAACAGAAAATATATGGCAAAATATACAAAATATGCAGAACTTGTGTAAACATTTTAAATATAACTATTTTTAATAGTTGCTTCTGTTGAACACAAAATACTGTGTAATGGTGGTTACTGGGACCCATCAGCATGCATAGTAGGAAAAAGCATACAAAAAAGCATACAAACACAAAAAGGTTTAGTGCAAATGAAGGATGAGTAAACAATAAGATCATTTTCATTTTGTGTGAACTATCCCTTTAAGAACACAGTGTAAATAAAAGGTTACGGGTGGAATTTGTGCTTTCATTGCTTGCTTACGGTGAAATTGTGATCTTGGTATCAGTGTCTTGCTCCACTTTCTTCAAGTTGCGTCCCTCTTTTCCAATCAAACGGCCAACAAAGTTGTTGTGAGCGAGAACTTTCAGAGGAACCTCATCAGCACTGTAGGAAATAAAAAAAGGTCTGTTAATACTGAGCTGTAAACAACAGCAAAAAGTTTGGGGTCACTGCTGTGCAACAAGACCACACATAAAAAAAAAATTCTATTCAAGCATATTTGAAAATGTACTTCATTCCTGTGGTTGATAACTTCAGTGCAGAGTGTGACATTAGCTTTCTATAATTCCAATCAGAAATCATTCTAAATTGGTGAATTTAGATATAGAAAGATTTGTGAATAGAAGGCTCAAATCAACAGTGTTCATTTAAGTAACGTCTTTTTATAAAATGTTTAAAGCTTTAGTCAGCCTTTAGTAACTGAGGAGTAAATTACTAAAATTTAAGTTTCTACCAATCATAACTATAACAAATGTGTTTTAAAATGTTTGCTTATCATTATATTAAATATGTTTAGAGATCAGACTTAACATCTTGATCTGACTATAAGCCTTCATGCTAGGGCTGCATGATATTGGAAAAAACTGACATTGTGATATTTTGTTTTTATGTCATATACAGTTAAAGTCAGAATTATTAGCCGCCCTTTGAATTATTATTTTTTTTAAACATTTCCCAAATGATGTTTTAACAGAGCAATGACATTTCACAGTATGTCTGATACTATTTGTTTTCTTGTTTTATTTCGGCTAGAATAAAAGCATAAAAGCTTTACATTTACATTTACAACAAAAAAAAAACAATTCAAGGTCAAAATTTTTAGCCCCTTTAAGCTATATTTTTTCAATAGTCTACAGAACAAACCATCGTTATACGATGACTTGCCTATTTACCCTAACCTGCCAAGTTAACCTAATCTAGTAAAGCCTTTAAATGTCACTTTAAGCAGTATAGAAGTGTCTTGAAAAAATATCTAGCCATTTATTATTTACTGTCATCATGGCAAAGATAAAATAAATCATTTATTAGAGATGAGTTATTAAAACTGTTATGTTTAGAAATGTGTCGTAGAAATCTTCTCTCCGTAAAACAGAAATTGGGGAAAAAAATAAACAGGGGGGCTAATTAATATGAAAACTATTTCACCACATGGCTTGAACAGCTCAATTTGGAACTAAATTATTAATATATATTGATTATATTTATTTATACTCTAATTCATATTGATTGATTTTGTAAGGGCATGAATCATGTATAAACAAATAATAAACAAATTGCAAAGGAAAAAAGTTAAATAAAAGTAGTCAACCAGTATTCAGGTACAGATATTAAAGAATGAAATGTAGTTAACGTAACACTTTGTTAGTCTTCATTGTAGTAATTTAGTAAAATGACTCATTTAAGTTACAAATGTATTATTTTACACCTAATGCTTGAAATGAAGTTGAAATAAAACGTGTTATTTTCTCCCCCTCACTTTTTTTGTTAAATGACATTTCTCATTACCTTTTTGACCCAAACCCCTGTTTACAACTCTTACATTTCTGGCTAAGAAATATATATTACTAAAATGGTCTTCCAGGTATTTTCATGTGGATTTCACAGTTGTCCTTCTTTCTTTCTTTGGAAAAATTAACCTGTGACCTCAACCACAAACAGGACAAATTCAGGAGACTTTGAGAACCTCTCCAAACCTTTCTACATAAACTTTGAAACCTTTATTTTGAGAGAGTTCTGACTTCTTTTGTTTTGTTTTAATTAATTTAAAGTAATTATTATTATTAATAAAAAAAAAATACATCTGTAAATTTTTTATTTAATTTGCAACGCTTGGGGATGGTTTGTTTGTTTGTACTATTTGAAAATCCTTAATAAAAAACTAATAAAAAAAAGACATTTAAATGTCTTTTTCTCAACTGTTCTGATGATCAACTATAATCCAAATTCATCATTTCTTTTCCTGCGCTGTGACTAGTGCCGACACATTGCGATATCTATGCTGAATCGATATATTGTGCAGCCCTACTTCATGCAAACAACTGATTTCTATTGAATTCCAAATGAACTACAAAGTCAAATTCAATTGAAAAGGGAATGGGCACTGTAGACCTTTTTCTGAATCAATCGAGAGGACATGTATATTTGATCAAAGTAAAAACTGGAAAGTTATGTACAATTGGCATAACATTAACTGACATATAAAACAAACCTGATGTTTTAGTAGAATGAAATGAAATTAAAATTGTTAAGTGGAGCAGAAAAATGGTCCATCAGCTCTCACTTTATAGTGTCATTCACAGACAGCTTACTTTGAATGGACATTTTTACTAATATAAGCATCAAGACATGAAGTTACATTCGCTTATTGTCTCATAAGCACTCAAAATTGATGCATATTAAAGGCATAGTTCACCCCAAAATTAAAATGCTCTCATCATTTACTCACCCTTTGCTTGATTAAAACCTATTTGACATTCTTTCCTATGTTAAACACCCAAGGAGATAATTTGAAAAATGCTGTTAGCTGGCACTCATTGAATTCCAGTATTTTTTCTCACTTTGGAAGTTGATGGGTCTTTAAAATATCTTCTTGTGTGTTAAACAGGAGAAGAAACTCAAATAGGGTCAAACCCAAGAGAGAGTGAATGATGTGATCATTTTAAATTGGGTGAACTTACTGTACTATTACTTTAAGTCTACTTTTTTTTAAACCGAATGGTATGTGCAAACAGTAATTAAACTGTTTATTTGTACAGTGTTTGATAATGTCAATCATTAAATCCAGTTTGAAACTTGACACATTAAATACTCACATCAAACCAATTACTTTATTTAGTGTTCATGTAAACACTACTTCATTAAAATTCATCAATCTGAATAATTCAATTCCGACTGAAATCCAAAACTGTCCATATTAAGACAACCACCATCATACTCACGTTTTGGTGTCCTTGGCCTCCTGGTTCATGATTTCCAGGATCATTCGGCAGGCAGCTGAACAGCCCTCTGGGGTAGAATGGATGCTTATGGGCTTTTCGGCGGCACCTGCGTTCTCTTTACGATGCACATCAATCCTGATATGACAGGAGATAAGAGGGACAAATCGCAAAGGTTATGCAATGAAATATGAAACAAATACATGTGAGAACACAAACAAAAATGTAAAACAATTCCTCAATTGCAATAAGAATTGAGATATTATTATGACAAATAGAAATAGGTGTTTCCCCCCTCCTCAGCATCAGTAATTCTGTTCAGAGGGACAGAAAGAAAGAGAGGTCTCCATGACCTATGACCTAGTTTTTGTGTGTCTCCTGAAAACAAAGTTAAAAAAGACAGGCAAAGAGAGGAGCAAGGACACTAAACAATCTTACATAAAGCAGTGTATTACTTATTCATTGATTCAAATCAATTTCAAAGTTAAATACTCATTTAAATAATCAAATAATTATATTTAATAAAAATAATGAGGAACAGGATGATGAGAAAAGGATAATCATTGATCCATGCTGAGACTGATTGGAAGGTATAAATCTGAATCCTTCAATGTGCTATAGGTGAATTGGGTTAGCTAAATTGCTCATAGTGCATGAGTGTAAATGAGAGTGTATATGGGTGTTTCCCAGTGTTGGTTTGCGGCTGGAAGGGCATCCGCTGCGTAAAACATATGCTTGGTAAGTTGGCGGTTCATTCTGTTGTGGCAACCCCAGATTAATAAAGGGAATAAACCAAAACGAGAATGAATGAATGAATGAATGAATATTATTGTGACAATTTTGCCATAAGGGTAAACTAGGCTTTTAGATTAAAAGGTCAATTTCCCCCAAATTCATTGTTTATACACTCTCATTCCAATCCTGTAGGCAATTTGACCATCTTCGTTACTTTAAATGAATGTGTTTTTAATCAGACCTTAGAGTTGCATAAAGTATGTTTGGGATTCTGCTAATGCTCCTTGATCAATATGAATAAGGTAATTATATTGGCTCATCATATGAATTCATAACGTCTCTTCAAATGACTTGAATTAACTCGATTCATATTGATTTCTTTTTTATGTACCTGTCAATTTTGATATTACAGCTTTTCTACAGTGCTTTTTTACAAGAAAACATCAAAAACCCACTATTAATTGCTTCATGTGTCACACATTATCAATTTGTCAGTAGATTTTTTTTTTAAATCTGCACTGAGCTATAAACTTCCACTTCAACAGAACTTAGTTGTATTCATGTCTGTCTTTTGAAGTTGTTGACAGAGAGCAAAGATAACCAGATTATACCCATTTTATTATCCACAAAAAATTTACAAAATAAAGTGTTTGCAGTACTTTTTGAATCATAGAGTGATGAAGAGATTCCCCAAATACCTGAATTCACCAAAAACACACAATTTAATGCAGATGTGCCCAAACTTTTTCATCTGAGAGGCCAAAAACAAATAGATATGATAGCCATGGCCTGAAGGTAAATATATACCAAACTACAGTATGTGACATTAAAGTTGCCATGGCTAATTTCTTAAGATGTTAAATACAGGTTATCTGCAGGTTTCACCAAGTAAAATTTAAGACTTTAATATTTTAAGAACATTATGAATGAAATGTTAGACTTATACAGGGCTAAATGCAAAGGATTTTTTTTCGAATATCCCAGTTAGAAAAGATTTTCACTTTTCCCATCAAAAAAATAATAAATAAATAAAAATTATTTAAAAAGAAATTGATTATTTTTAAATATATCCATTCACAAACCCTATAACCTTTAACCATTGCAATAATAATAATGCAATAATAAAAAAATATAGGTCAGGTCAGTACCCTAAGTAGAAAATAAATGGAGAATGTTTAAACATGTTACTTTAAGGAATGTAATTAAATGCTATTTTGAAATAAAAAGTGAAAAGTTTTATTGAGAGTGTACAGATGTTAATGGTCAGATTGGGTAGCTATCCATGAACAAAGAAAAATTAAGGAAAAAGATTTAACATACAACACTACATTCATTCATTCATTTTCTTTTCAGCTTTGTCCCTTTATTAATCCGGGGTCACCACAGCGGAATGAACTGCCAACTTATCCAGCATATGTTCTATGCAGCGAATGCCCTTCCAGCTGCAACCCATCACTGGGAAACATCCACACACACACTTATTCACTATGGCAATTTAGTTTACCACGTTTTTTGGCCTGTGGGTAAAACCGGAGCACCCGGAGAAAACCCACACCAACACGGGGAGAACATACAAACTCTACACAGGAATGCCAACTGACCCATCAGGGGCTCAAACCAGTGACCTTCTTGCTGTGAGGCGATTTTGCGACCCACTGCGCCACTGTGCTGCCCACAACACAACATTTCAGTGGATTTAAGACTTTAAGACTTAAAAATGTAGCTTTTGAAATTTAAGACATTAAGACCCCGCAGAAACTCTGTAATAATATTTCAAAATAAATAGAAAACCTAAAATTAAATGGTATTAACTAATGCAGAGTAGATTTTTAAATTAAAACTCATTGGAATAAAACCCATAAACAAACACATTTAAAACACAGTGGATGCTGAATATGCTAGTCAAGAAGAATCTGCCTTTGACTCAATTGGCTCACCAAAGTCTCTGGATTGTCGGGTGACAGTGTATACATTAAAACAAAATCTGATTCATTTACACCAGGGGTGTCAAACTCAATTCCTGGAGGGCCGAAGCCCTGCACAGTTTAGTTCCAACCCTGCTCCAACACACTTACCTGTAGGTTTCAAAAAAGCCTGAGGGACTCAATTAGTTTGATCAGGTGTGTTTAATTAGGGTTGGAACAAAACTGTGCAGAGCTGCGGCCCTTTTGGAACTAAGTTTGACACCCGTGATTTACACCATTTAATTAATTAAAACATTTAATTTCAGACAATAATAAAACAATAAAAGGGCTACATTAAATTTTAATCGATAATCTTGAAACCATCCCCATTATTCTCCCTTTCTTCTTAATGCGATGGGCCCTAGTTTGGGCATCCCTGCTCAAATTTACCAAAAAAGAAAAAATAAACCTGAACCTGAATTTTACCAATGTTCAGGGGTTTTTTGTAATGAAAAATATGCAAATTACTGCATATTTAATACAATAATGACCTATTTTTTATTTAAACACGTAACATTTATAGAAAATTCAGTGCAAAAACATTTGTAATTATTGATCTTTTTTAAAAATTTGGAAATGCAAGGGTTTAAGGTAACTTTTTCAGCTGAGGGACAAAAAAAAATCTCTAATTTGATTTAATACATAAAGCAAAAATCAGTTCAAGGCTTAGGTTCAAAGTTACCCTTAAAGGTTAGAAAGGCAGCTCTCTGCAGAAATGTATAGGTTTTTGAAAGATTAGTCATATATATATATATATATATATATATATATATATATATATATATATATATATATATATATATATATATATATATATATATATATATATATACACACACATACACACGCCTTTTTAATATTTTTTCTACATCTTTTGAGTGCCTTGGACTGATATTTGCTTATGAAAATTTTGATTTTGAGCCACCCAGGAGCACTTTTTGTTTGATTTTTGATTTAATATATCTTTATGTGTGTTTTCTAGATGAAACTCAACAGGATTGGAATAACATGACAGACAGAATGATGACAGAATCAACCACTCACTTGCTCTGGGTCTGCTTTGTGATGTTGCGAATGGTGGCACCCTCTTTGCCGATGATGGCACCTACGTACTGTGTGGGCACAAGCAACCTGAGAGGGATGTCAGCATGCTGGTGTTTGGAGGGAATTCCTGAACCAGGTGACATCTGGCGGGACGTTCCTCGTGGGCCATAGCCAGGACGGCGGCCGTTGTCTGGACCTCGCTGAGAGTCCACCTCAGAGTTTTCATCGGGGATGTAAGACACACGCAGGGCATTGTTGTCAAACTGGTAGCCGTTGAGTTTCTGAATAGCTCTTTAAAAGGGAAAAACATGAATGATATATATAAATGCGGGTTTATAGCAAAATATGCCACTTAGCAGCAAATGAATGCTAACTGATTAAATGCGCAAAGATTGAATTATATGGATCATTTCACAGTTCAGCAGATGTGATTTGCCTAAATGGTTATTAAGGAACATTATGAATTAATCCCATGAAGAATCCGTACTGACACATTGCAAAGCCGCTTAATCACCAGTAGGTGTCAGTAGCGAACTAGATAATTAAAAAAAACAGATCGAGAAGGTGCCCGTTTAACGGCAATTTTAACCAGCAATTTTAAAGCTCAAATGTGTTTTTAATGTTCTTCTTTTTAAGTAGACAATATGCAGAGTCAATCATTGAAAGCCATTTTTTCCGAAAAGAAAAATTACACTACTGCTTTAAAGGTGGGAGGTGATTCTGTTAGTCAAATTTATGATTTTTTATACCCTTTCAAAACCATTGTGAATGGCATTTTAGATGTATACAGGGCTAAACACTATTTTTTTTTCTAATGGCCTGGTTGAGATTATGATTTTTTTTTTTTTTGCTTGTAATTATTTCTTAACGACATACTTTAATGTGTCAAAACAGGAAAACTCTATCTGTAGGGCGAGTAAATTAACAGCAAATTATCAGTTTTGAGTAAATTATCTCTTCAACCTTTAGACTGTATACCAAGCTGTTTTCTAGGTCAAACTTAAGATACTCTCTGAAACCATGAATGAAGAAGAATCATCAAGCGCTTTAGGGTTAAGCTTTAATCTATGTCTCTAAAAACACCCCAAAAGCCAGCAGATGATTTGAGTGAAGTGCATCATTGTGTTGATTAAGAATAACTGTAGGACTGTAATTATTTCTTAACGACATACTTTAATGTGTCAAAACAGGAAAACTCTATCTGTATACATTGTTTTAACATGTTATTCTATTTATTATGACAAGTTTAACTTAAAAAATATGATTATATGAAAGCTTTTTGGTCCAAATTGATTAAGTATAACTTTTATTCAACCTAATGGATTTCTGTTATAAACCCTTAAGTTTCATGTCTATCTATAAATATTATGTCTATTCGTCCTTACTTCTGTAAATAGTTTTGGTATAAATAGAAGATAACATGAAGTGATAAATTGTTCTGTTATTATCATGAGAAACTCTGTACTTGTTTTTAGCTTTATTTCACTGATTTTATTAGGATGGATTGTTGGTGATTTGATGGATGTCAGCCCAATTGGGTACTTGGACAGAGAAAAATTAAGACCTCTTAAAATTATCTAAGACATTTCAGTGAATTTAAGACTTTAAGGCCTAAAATTTTGTTTTATATATCAAGACATTTTAAAAGTTTAAGACCCGGTGGATACCCTGCAATACTTAGAGAAAACTAATCTGATGAAACCTTATTTTAGGCAATTTACTTTTGTGACACTAATGAGAGAGCGACCCTTCAGCTTTAAGCTTGCAGGACAAAGTTTACTCACTGTCTAGCCTGCTCCCGCGTCCCATATGTGACATTAACCACTGCAGTCTCGCTGTCTGTGTTTACTAAAAAGAAAAAAAGGAGGGGAAAAAAAAAGAACATAGGGAATGTAATGAGAATGTGGTCAATGAACTGACATCATTTGCATGTTTTATAGGTACAACTTTACAAAAATATATTACATGTATATTATTACAATAATGCAATCAGCTTAATTGATATTTAATTTAAAGTGACCTATAGATGTCTACTATTAATAACAACAGACAATGAAGGTACTTGATTACCTTGTTCACAGTTCTCAACAGTTCCATATTGGGCAAGCAGACCATCGAGAACCTACAAAAGATAAATGAGAATGAATGAGAGGAAAGAAAAACAAGTGCTGAAATAAAGAAACTTTAAACAATTTTTAATTTACATTTTTTGGTTTTCCACTGCAAATGTTAAAAGTGCTTTACAGTAACATCTCTTTTGCTAACTTTAGTTGATGCATTAACTAACATGAAGAAATAAAAATCTTTTGATTTGAAATGAACACAAAGATTAAGATTAATCAATGAAGTAGAATTATTTATACTCTTAAGTCATTAACTGCTGTACCTAAATTTTGTTATCAACCCTATATCCAGGCTTATTTATTACAAAATGACTAAATGAATCTGACAGATGCATCAAAATGAAAATCAAGAATAATGTTCACATTAAAAACTTAATTTGAATGAAACCCTGCTCCTGTTCTATTGGTTTTAAGCATAAACTGACCTCATTTGACACATTTTATGGTTGTGAACTGTAGCTTAACTTTTATGAAGGAAGGCTCTGACTGACTGGTTCACGTGAGAAATAGAAACTCATAAATTCCTTGTTTTCTAAAGAACAGGCCATCTGCAGTTCTAATCTGTTTTTCATTTATCATGACCCCCCACAATTCTTCAATTTAGCTTAAACCATGTCTCAAACTACACGCGGGTATGTATGATACCAGGCTTATACAAAAATTAACATCTGTCAAACTGAACTACACCGAACACAGTTGGCAACAGATCATTTTCTGCCACCAAGGTGTCGCCTCCTAGTGGCTGACATTGGCACAAGTGACTGGCAGAAGTGGGCCCTGCTGGAGAGGAGCCAAGAGAGACCCCGCCCCGCAAGAACAACAGTCAGACAGTACAACAACCATCAGAAAATACATGCACTGTGCCACGCCCGCGCACACACACACACACACACACACACACACACACACACACACACACACACACACACACACACACCCAGACAGTGTGTGTGATGGTGTAATCTCATAATCACACACAGATCACCTAACCTGAATGACTTGGATAAAACTGTGGGTTTAAACTAACACAGGGCATTGCCTTTGCCAGAACATGCAGGGAAAAGTCAAACTTTGCTATTCAGAGTCAAATTAAATTGATGCATTGCAGAAATGTAAACTGAACTGACAGAACTGCATAGTATTCATTAAATAGTTATTACAATGAAGATTTTTCTCCACACAAGCTAAAATAGATATTTGAAAAAATATTATATTTAATTATACTGTTATTGAATTTTTGTCAGGCTTCTTTTATTCCAAAATTTTGTTGAAAACTAAGCAAAACAGGTATGTGAGCTATAGATGAAACACCATTTTTTAAGTGTCCAAACTGTCCATTAAGTGTAATTATATATGACAATATGTTATTTTAGTGGTTGTTTTTTTCATTATATACACACACTATCGGTCAAAAGTTTGGGGTAAGATTTTGAAAAATTATTAATTTTATTAAATAATTTACATAAATGTATTCTGTTCATCAAGGCAGCATTTATTAAGTGTATAAAAAGGTTACACTGTTAAATACTTGTTTATTACCAATAACATTAATAAAAATAATAATAATAAAAATAAATAATAAATATTAGAGTGATTTCTGAAGGATCATGTGACTCTGAAGACTGGAGCAATGCTGCTGAAAATTCATCTTTAAAATGATTAAATTAAATGATAAACTTCTTTTGAACAGTTATTTTACAGTGCACTAACATTTCACATTTGTACAGTTTGTACTGTATTATTGATTAAATAAACGCAGCCTTGGTGAGCAGAAGAAGCTTATTTTAAAACATTCAAAAATCCTACAGACCCCAAACTTTTAAACAGTATACAGTTGAAATCAGAATTATTAAGCCCTTTTGAATTGTTTTTCTTTTTTAAATTTCCCAAATTATGTTTTAACAGAGCAGGAGAATTTTTACAGTATATCTGATAATATTTTTTTCTTCTGGAAAAAGTCTTTTTTTATTTCAGCTAGAATAAAAGCAGTTTTTAATTTTTTTTAAACCATTAAGGTCAAAATTATTATCCCCTTTAAGCCATTTTTGTTTTTGATATTCTACAGAAACAAACCATCGTTATACAATAACTTGCCTATTTTTTCTAGCCTGCCTTGTTAACCTAATTACCTAGTTAAAATATTATTTACAGAAATAATACATAAGAAATAATTACATAGAAATGTGTTGATAAAATATTCCCGCTGTTAAACAGAAATTAGGGCAAAAATGAACAGGGGGCAATAATTCTGACTTCAACTGTGTGTGTGTGTGTGTGTGTGTGTGTGTGTGTGTGTGTGTGTGTGTGTGTGTGTGTGTGTGTGTGTGTGTGTGTGTATATATATATATATATATATATATATATATATATATATATATATATATATATATATATATATATATATATATATATTCTTCTCAAATACATGTCTAGTACAGCTTTCATAATAACCATTTTGGTTTTGTTTATTTGAGCACAATCATTTAAAATAAATGAAAACAAGAAATATTTGCTTGTCAACTAGCTGTTGCAATTTTTTGTTTTAGCTAAACCCATCTTTAACTGAAGAGGAAAAACTCTTGAAAAGGAAAAGCTACAACATGTCCTGAGGGCGAGTAAATTAACAGCAAATTATCAGTTTTGAGTAAATTATCTCTTCAACCTTTAGACTGTATACCAAGCTGTTTTCTAGGTCAAACTTAAGATACTCTCTGAAACCATGAATGAAGAAGAATCATCAAGCGCTTTAGGGTTAAGCTTTAATCTATGTCTCTAAAAACACCCCAAAAGCCAGCAGATGATTTGAGTGAAGTGCATCATTGTGTTGATTAAGAATAACTGTAGGAAGTCTTACTGTCGGCATGACAAACACACCAAGACTCACCTCCCACTGCAGGTGTGGTGGAATGTTTCTGATCTGAAGTTTTCTGGTCCTGTAGAGAAAGAAATGAAGAGAAATGTGATTTAGACAAGGCTCCCTTACCAACTTTACTTGAGGAAACAAGTGGCATCAATAAATTCAGTTTTAATTGACAGGAGCGGTTGCACCCACAGATATTTTCAACAAAAAACTGCTCAAGTTTACACTCACCGTGACATAAAAACTAATTACACTAATGATATCTGGTGATTCAACATCCTCCGAATGTTGATTTACACTGACAGCTAGTGTTCTGAAAGGTCTTGGTCTTGTCTACATCTAAATGATGTAGAAAGAGATGCGTGAAAAAGGTGAAAGTCAAAGTCAGAACTGAGATAAATTCATCTAAATGGTGACTTCCCTCATGAAGGATACTTTATTTTAGCTCTGACATTAAACCTTCACTTGCACATCAGAGGGAGTGATTGTAAATCTTCAACACAGCAATCAGGTGCTAGAAAATATATGGTTAAACCATTGAATCATCAAGGCCATTTGGGTCAATTTTCATACATAATTTATGCATGGGGAACAAACTTGTTTGCTCAAGAGAAAGATGTATTCTTCCTGCCTTTTTATATCTTTATTTTTAAGGTATATAACTTAAAAGCAAAACAGAAAATCTGAAAGTGAAGGCTTAAGCAAATAAAATAGAAATTCATTATACACAAAATCATATTTATGCTCTTTTATTACCAATAAATATGACGATTTTGCAAATTTGCACTGCTTTTGAGCAAATAGTTATTATCAGGAACAACAAAACAATAGCGCAAGTTATAAACGCTAAATTCTCTGATTAAATTATATCATTTAAATTCATTTTATACTATCAAAAATAAAGGTACAAAATCTGTCACTGAGGTGGTAACTTTTCTAATGGTGCACTTTTATACCTTTCAGGTCTACGTTTGCACCATAAAGGAACATATGTCTATCTAAAAAGTTGTGTAGCTCCTAGTACCCTAAAGGTACAAAATATACCTTACAGGTAAAAATGTTCCAATGTGCACCTGTAAGGTGGAAAAGTGTACTTTTTGTGACCACTTCTGAGAGAGAATAGTACTCATTAAATAGTTATTTCCTCCATATGAGCTAAAATAACTATTTGAAATAATGTGGTTTTATTTAATTATATTGCTATAAAATTTGTCAGGCTTCTTTTTAAAAAAATGCAGATTTTTTTTTTGATGTGTAATAGATTAAATATGTTGGTTTCATAAATTTGGAATGCTTTTGAGCAAAGAGATATAATCAGGGATAAATAAGCAATAGCACAAGTTATAAATACAAAATTCTCTGATTAAATAATAGAGATTTTGATTCATCTGAAATAAAGGTACAAAATGAGTACATGGTACTAATTAAAGTTATTACAATGCACAAAAAAAAATATATATTTGAAAAAAAAATGTTCTTTCAAAAAAAGGCAGGTTTTTATTTAAAACTTCTGTTGAAAACTAAAACCAGGTATGTGAGCCATAGATTAAACACATTTATTAAGCAAACAAACTGTATAGTTAGTGTAATTACATATGACAAAAAGTTATTATAGTAGTTGTATTTTACACTGCCTTTTTAAATCTTTATTTTTAAAGTCTGAAAGTAAAGGCTTAAACAAATAAAATAAAAATTTATTACACAGACAGACATTACACAGTCATATTTATGATTATTTGTTATCAATAAATATGTAGGTTTTGAAAATTTGGACTGCTTTTTGAGCAAAGGAGGTAAAATTGAGAAGTTATAAATGCAAACTTCAATACATTTTTACAATTGCATTTATTCCAGTGGTGTTAATAATGCCAATTCTCTGATTAAATGATACAGATTTGAATTCATTTGTGTGGATTAAAAAGGAATGTTTCAAATTGAGCAATAATATTAACTTATCTGGTTTAGAAATTAACACATTTTCCAGATACATTTAAGTTTTTATTTTATATAAACATGAGTTAATATGAATGTATATCACATACACATATAAGCATGTATGCATTTCACCTGCATGTCTACATTTTTAAATAGAAGACCTGAATCAATCCAGATCTTTGGCATGTCTTAGAGAAAACTTTTCTGAACAAATATAAAAGTTAAAAAATGTGTTGATTCAAGAATCACTCATGGTACATCTAGCAAGACATGCTTTAGATTCATAAAATGCCATCAACTCCAAAGGTCAATGAAAGTATCTCAGTGATCTGGAATCACACATTATTTATAGTCACAGACATTAAAACAGCAAAGATGCTTGGAAGCATCCGTCCTGCTCATGGTTTGTGGAAGTGAAGCGGAGCGGGTAGAGGAGAAAGAGAGAGAGAGAGACGAGACGAGACTGAATGGGTATATTGAAACTAAACACTGATGTAGTTTAATGCCAGCTGCCCCGGAAGCTTCCAAAACCATTGGTCGGGAAAGAGCGAGAGTGAGAGATAGAAAGACAGAGAGCAAGAGAGAGAGTGCTAGTAACTACACCAATAAAATGAGATAAATAAAAAGAAGCCAAGGCATAAAGACAATTGAGAGTATCATCTATAAAGTCAAATGAAGAACTGCAGCATAGTATCGGACCATTACCATAACAATGAGGAGACAAATAACACAAACATTTAAGCCCTCTGGAACCTCTAGAGGGCATAGCATCAAACTTCTAATGCAATGCATGTGTTTAGGATCAAGGAGGGAAATGGGTGCCAGGGGTCATGTGGGAGGAGCTTGAAACCCTGCTCTGGTGACTGAGACCACAAACCCTAAAGACCTCTGAACTCCGGAAGGTTGACGCCCACTGGCTGACGAGCAGAGAAAATGGCGCCATTTGACCGCCTTCTACCTCGCTTCATGCAAATGGCGCCCAAAAGGGCCAATCAGGGAACAAAGAATCCAGCAAAGGGTGTTTCACGCCACACAGATCAGCAATGCAAGCAAGGCCAGGCCAAATGAAACCAACTGAAATCATACATTGTCCAACGTTCTAGATGGCCATGCTGATTTGAAGGCCACTTGCAACTTGTTTTCAAGCAAGTCTCGAGTTTCATGCCTCGGGCAGAAAAGCACCGAAAGGTACAACAAAAGGCAAAGGCCACACAAACACCAGCAATCTGTTCGCTCTCCCACTGATCAATCACCTCGTTCCCGAACCCTTCCCCCAAGCAGACGCTTCCGCATCCCACCCACCCACACTCACCACACACCCACAAACAGTTTTTCAAACCAACCCCCACTACAGAAAAACATCCCTCTTGTTTGGCACCTTTGAACCCATTTAAAACCATCATGTCACGTCCTACCAAGTCTCCGACCAATCTGATTGGTCAGTGGCTTAGTTATCACAGCCACATGAAAAGTTGGGAGGACTGACACCCCTTTCTGTCTTTTTCAATTGTTTACGGCCGAGAACAGACTTGAGCAAATAAAAGGTCAAAATATGGGTGTAATAATGTCCTATATTTAGCTAAATAAAAGAAAAAGACACTTTTTTTCTGATGTTTCAAGGTAAATATAAGAACATGTGAACACACTGAACTTACTTTAAATGATTCAAAACATCTTGCAACTGATGAAAACAAACTAAAACGCAGCATTTTAAATTTAACCTGTTGTCCACCGGTCCAGAGCCATGGAGCAATGGATGATGGGACATCCATGATGTGAACCACAAAATCTGTTAACACACTCATATACTCCAAAACGAGTTGCATGGGATTTCTCTGCATTTTATGGGATGGCAAATAAAATTCTATGTTTAGATTTGGCTTCAGATTAAACGGGAATCTCACACTGAACACACAGAGAAGTTCAATCATACAGCACTACAGACAATTAAAATGGTAATAAAAAAGCCAAATAACAAGAACAGAAATGGACAACAGCAGAAAAGAACGAAACAAAAAAAAGAAGAGATTCACTCCATATAAGGGTCAAAGGTGAGGGCTCTATAGGCAAGTGAATGGCATTAGGGGGAGGGTGTGTGTTTGTGTGTATGTGGGTACTAGGGTGAGGGTTGGTATGTGGTATTGTCCCATAAGAGCAGGTCAGCGGCATGTTACTGAAGTCCACTTCTATCTTGAACTTGTGAACATGAAAGAAAGTATAGATGGGACTATATGGTTTGAGATAAGATTGAACTGTTCAGTGCTTTTATTCAATAAATCAGCATTTATTAGTAAAATCACACAAAACAATCCATAAATCTCACTGAAAATTGTACTAGCCGAGGCATTTTGCAAAACTGCTCACTCCACACTGAGGCATGACGAGGAAAAAAAAGCACACATTAAATGGAAAGAACTATATGTCTTGACACAGTTAAGTACATTCAGTTCCTCCACACACACACACACACACAACACGCAAACATGCTTAAACACACAGAAACATTTACATCGCCAGTTACTACTCATCTAAAGCTAGAGGTTAATACGATTCTTAAACAAGTTATACTGTTATCCAGCATGGCTGTAATAAACTACAAAAGATAAGAGTTAAAAAAAAAAAAACATAAAAAAAATTAATTAATTAAAAAAAAAAATAAAAAAACAGAAATTACTTCCAAGTCAATTTAGGTCTGTTGTTGAAAGCTGTGTTAAAAATTACATTTAGGAATTATTTTCAAATTTTATGTAAAATATTCACAAAACTTTACTGCTTATTTAATAAACATATTGGCTTGATGAGGATTACTTTGAATTAAATATGCACACATAGTATAACTTACTCTCACCAAACATTTGAATGGTACAAATGATAAATACAATGTTTTTAAATGAGTCAGTCAGAGATAGAATGGGGTTATTTAAGCATCGAAACAATAAAAGTTACTGGTTTAATTAGTGTGATATAGCTATGCTATAGTGTAATTGTGTTGACGCATTCAGTGTGTCCTGTTTAACTCCACTTCTTGGTTTCCAGAAATCACAAGTTAAAATATTCTAATTAAACAACACTTTATATTCCACAAATCCTTTCATGCATATTTAGAACATTGAAAAAATATTCAAAGATGATTCCTTG